GTCAGTCAGTCAGTCAGTCAGTCAGTCAGTCAGTCAGTCAGTCAGTCAGTCAGTCAGTCAGTCAGTCAGTCAGTCAGTCAGTCAGTCAGTCAGTCAGTCAGTCAGTCAGTCAGTCAGTCAGTCAGTCAGTCAGTCAGTCAGTCAGTCAGTCAGTCAGTCAGTCAGTCAGTCAGTCAGTCAGTCAGTCAGTCAGTCAGTCAGTCAGTCAGTCAGTCAGTCAGTCAGTCAGTCAGTCAGTCAGTCAGTCAGTCAGTCAGTCAGTCAGTCAGTCAGTCAGTCAGTCAGTCAGTCAGTCAGTCAGTCAGTCAGTCAGTCAGTCAGTCAGTCAGTCAGTCAGTCAGTCAGTCAGTCAGTCAGTCAGTCAGTCAGTCAGTCAGTCAGTCAGTCAGTCAGTCAGTCAGTCAGTCAGTCAGTCAGTCAGTCAGTCAGTCAGTCAGTCAGTCAGTCAGTCAGTCAGTCAGTCAGTCAGTCAGTCAGTCAGTCAGTCAGTCAGTCAGTCAGTCAGTCAGTCAGTCAGTCAGTCAGTCAGTCAGTCAGTCAGTCAGTCAGTCAGTCAGTCAGTCAGTCAGTCAGTCAGTCAGTCAGTCAGTCAGTCAGTCAGTCAGTCAGTCAGTCAGTCAGTCAGTCAGTCAGTCAGTCAGTCAGTCAGTCAGTCAGTCAGTCAGTCAGTCAGTCAGTCAGTCAGTCAGTCAGTCAGTCAGTCAGTCAGTCAGTCAGTCAGTCAGTCAGTCAGTCAGTCAGTCAGTCAGTCAGTCAGTCAGTCAGTCAGTCAGTCAGTCAGTCAGTCAGTCAGTCAGTCAGTCAGTCAGTCAGTCAGTCAGTCAGTCAGTCAGTCAGTCAGTCAGTCAGTCAGTCAGTCAGTCAGTCAGTCAGTCAGTCAGTCAGTCAGTCAGTCAGTCAGTCAGTCAGTCAGTCAGTCAGTCAGTCAGTCAGTCAGTCAGTCAGTCAGTCAGTCAGTCAGTCAGTCAGTCAGTCAGTCAGTCAGTCAGTCAGTCAGTCAGTCAGTCAGTCAGTCAGTCAGTCAGTCAGTCAGTCAGTCAGTCAGTCAGTCAGTCAGTCAGTCAGTCAGTCAGTCAGTCAGTCAGTCAGTCAGTCAGTCAGTCAGTCAGTCAGTCAGTCAGTCAGTCAGTCAGTCAGTCAGTCAGTCAGTCAGTCAGTCAGTCAGTCAGTCAGTCAGTCAGTCAGTCAGTCAGTCAGTCAGTCAGTCAGTCAGTCAGTCAGTCAGTCAGTCAGTCAGTCAGTCAGTCAGTCAGTCAGTCAGTCAGTCAGTCAGTCAGTCAGTCAGTCAGTCAGTCAGTCAGTCAGTCAGTCAGTCAGTCAGTCAGTCAGTCAGTCAGTCAGTCAGTCAGTCAGTCAGTCAGTCAGTCAGTCAGTCAGTCAGTCAGTCAGTCAGTCAGTCAGTCAGTCAGTCAGTCAGTCAGTCAGTCAGTCAGTCAGTCAGTCAGTCAGTCAGTCAGTCAGTCAGTCAGTCAGTCAGTCAGTCAGTCAGTCAGTCAGTCAGTCAGTCAGTCAGTCAGTCAGTCAGTCAGTCAGTCAGTCAGTCAGTCAGTCAGTCAGTCAGTCAGTCAGTCAGTCAGTCAGTCAGTCAGTCAGTCAGTCAGTCAGTCAGGGCTACAAATGGTGAGTTGACAACCTAGCTATGGTTCTCACAAGTTCCTACCTCACGCCTCCCCGTGGTGTAGCCTGGGCAATGTTGTCCTTCTGACAATAGCAAAGTGAGGGGGTGCGACGCGAACACTGGCGCGGTAACCATAACACGGCGATAGAGGAAATGCTTCGTCAACCCGCAGGAGTGCCAACCGGCACATTAGGATCGACGCCAGTAAGATCCTTATTACGGCATACTGGATACGGCATGGAACTATGGACACGACACGGTACAATGGATTGGATACCACGCTACAGGGCTGACAGTCGTGCTATTCTGCTCCCTAAGTAAAGAAGGGTGACACCTTCTTGAAATGGCGAGTGGGCTAATAGTGCGGCTGCCCCCGTCCCGGTAAAACCTTGGCAGGCCTCCGGATACGTTCAAAACTCGTCACCAATTGGTGATTGGTGAGTAGTAGGCTCAGATGTAACATTCCTGACTTACGCCGATCTGGCTCTGAACACGGCCCCCATGAAGGACCGTGTCAACCCTAGCATGGCCTCCCTGCTTGCATAGATAACCATGGGATCACGATAGGAGACTACATACAACGAGTGGAGATAGCGGCCCGAAGGGGGGACCCATCAGAATGGATAAAATTGGAGAAAAAAATAAAAATGAAGAAAAAGAAAAAACCAAAAAAAATATGAAGAACGACGGCAATACGCTAGACAGTGAAAACGGAGGAGCGAACGTGTTCACAAGGAGTGGGATATTGCAGAGATCACCAGTGTCGAACCTGGGGGTCACTGCGAGTTCCAGCAGCAGCAGTAAGCTTCAAGAAGAGCAGCCAGGCGTTGAGCTAAGCCAGATATTCACACCGATATCCAGCAGTAGCAAATCTCAAGAACTGCAGCTCGGGAGAACCAAAATGACGGAGGTCAGGAGGAAGATCGATGATCTCTATGTGTTCGTGAAGGATAAAAACAACGTACACAAAGAGATCAAGCAACTTGTGACCGGTATCAAATCCGGCATAACAGTGGCAGATCGGGAATGTCAAGAGTGGAGAAAAAGGGCCGAAAATGCCGAAAAGGCTCTGCTGGAGGCCAAGGAGAACATAAGACTGGCTCAAGCACATGAGACTCCGAAGGGACCCACAAATCCACGTCCTGAAAAGAGAGATAGGGACACGCCAGGAGATGAGGAGGAGCCCAAAAAACGCAGGGACGACGAGGAAGGCATCAAGGAGATGGGAGAAAATGGTGCGTGGTGTAAAGTCGAGAACCAGAAGGAGAGGAAGAAAAAACAGAAGGAAGATGAAGTGAGGAAGAAGGAAGAGGAAGCGAGGAAGAAGGAAGATGAAGCGAGGAAGAAGGAAGAGAAGAAGAAGGAAGACAGGAAGAATAAGGAGAAGCCTAGGCCTCGTAGGGAGAGAAGCAAGGGTGACGCTCTGGTTGTTGAGGCGAAGGACAAAACGTCCTACGCAGCACTCCTCCGGAAAGTGAGAGAGGATCCGGAGTTGAAACAACTAGGCGAGAATGTGGTGAAAACCAGGCGAACCCAGAAAGGCGAGATGCTATTCGAGCTGAAAAGGGACCCTACGGTTAAGAGCTCAGCTTTTAAAGAGCTCGTCGAAAAATCTCTTGGCAAGACGGCGAACGTAAGAGCCTTATCCCAGGAGTCAGTGGTCGAGTGCAGGGATCTGGACGAGATCACAACAGAAGACGAGTTGAAAAGTGCGCTGAAGGTGCAATGCAACCTGGGAGACGTACCGATGGCAATTCGGTTGAGAAAGGCGTATGGTGGCACGCAGACGGCATCGATACGACTTTCTTCGGACGCAGCTAACGAGCTGCTGAAGACTGGCCGAATCAAGGTTGGGTGGTCAGTGTGCCCGTTGAAAGCTATTCCTCGGGTATCTAAGAAAATGGAGAGATGCTACAAATGCATGGGCTTCGGTCACCAGGCGAGACACTGCAAAGGCCCTGACAGATCTGATCTGTGCAGGAAATGCGGAGAGAAGGGGCACGTTGCAAAAGACTGTACAAAGCAACCGAGGTGCATGCTCTGCAAAAAGGAGGACGGAAACGGCCATGTGACGGGAAGTTTCAGGTGCCCTGAGTTCAAGAAGACGATGGTGGGCCAGCAAGAATGAAGGTAACCCAAATAAATCTCAATCATTGTAGCACAGCACAGCAACTGTTGTGGCAGTCAACAACGGAAACAAAGTGCGACGTTGCAATCATTTCAGAGCCATATCGAGTCCCTCTCGATAATGGTAACTGGGTGGCGGATAGAGCAGGAATGGCGGCTGGTTGCAGCAGTTTGGATGTAATATTCAACCATTTTTTTTTCTGTGTATGGTACCCTTCTTTGTAAGAAAGGTAAAACACAGATGCGAGGTTTACTCATTCCGCATTTTCAAATGAGCAAGTACCGAATGGAAACGTACACAGATAACAATATTTTGTAATTTTCAACATACAACTGCACACTTAGAAATACCTAATCTTACACGTGACGGAGTCCATCTTTGACATAAAGGATACGACGTAAACAAACATGTCATGTAAAATTAAGTGCTCCGAGACAGAAAAGTTTTAAAGTACGTTTGATTGAGCCGAATTTTGCGTCTATTATGACTCAATTTTATGTCAAAATTGACGCTCGTAAATGTCAGTTTCTGAGCACCTAAATTTACATTATTTTTTCTAAGTGTGTGGAGCAGGTTTATTTATTTAAAATTACACGTTTAACGATCTGGAATTCAACGAATAAGACCTGAAATTTACACTCTCTTGTAAATTTATATCGTTGCTCGTTGAAAATTAAAAAAAAAACCTTGAAAATCAAGTCAATTTCAATTGAATTTTTGACTTCCATGTAAAAACACACATGCATGTAAAATTCAATGCAAAATTAATGCCTTATTGCTGTATGTTTCAACTAAGCACAGAAAATACATCATGTACCACATGTAAATTTACACAGTTTTTGCTGTGTATGACACCATACATACTTATGTATACACTACCTCGTCTTCAAGCACAGTCAATCAATCGAACATAAACTTCGAAACATGTGATGATGCTTTTGTTTGGCGCTTGAAAACCACTCTGGATCATTAAATAAATATGTAAGCAGCTTAATAAACTTCCTCCCCAGCAGGTTGTTGTTGTTAGTAAACAATCTCATCCTGCGAACGCACCTCTTATCGGTATGGAAAAAAACTATATATCTGTATGTGGCTATAGTCAGCCCCTACAGGCACACCGGAGTATTGCCGGTCAATGCGCATGACCGCACACAGAGTCTACATATAGGAATAAGGAAGGAATTCAGAAACAGGCAAAATCGAACAAGTTGTTCCCCCGACTTCAGGCTTCAGACGACTTTGACAAGTGCAAAAGCTCGCACTTATCAGCTGCTGTGGGAGTCCGTCGCGTAAGATAGTGAAAAGTTTTGTACCTCAACAACACCGAACGTTTGGGAAGGTTCTCACCTGGGCAGTTTTTGGTGGCACCAACGCTTTAGGACTATATTCTGGCAAGGATCCTAAAAGGTCTGTATCGAAAGAATTCCGTCGCTTTCGCTTCGCTGCGAAGGCGTTAAATTATTAATCAAGTGGGTCGAAAATTTTACACACCTTAATGCGCTTCCATATGGACGGCAACGCGTCGTACCTTTCTCGCCTGGATTTCAGCTTTCCAGGAACAGCAGCAGCCAAGATGCCTAGCGCCAGGCGGATGATCCTGGGTCACGTCATGTCCGGACTGTGCAGCAAAATGAACCGGACCAAGCAGCTGCCGGCGGACTTAATGGAAACCCCGCTGAATCGATGCCTCAACACGTTCGATATTACCTTGCTGGGTAGGTATATGGTGCATAAAATGTAATGTGTGAACATTCAATCACAGCGACGCACGTCTTTGCGTGCGAGTCCTTGAAAATGTGATTTCGTGCGTTCGCTCCCTCCGTTCGCCTACATGTATGCTATATAAGTAAGTTATGCTGTTAATGAAGGTTGAGCGTGGGTGGGTGGAAAAGCTGCGGGGGGTGCTATGTTGTGACTACGAAATCAAGCGAAGAACAAAAGGATATACATATATGTGATTAATGCCGTAACGATCAACGACACACAGACGTAATGTGAGACTAGAACGACGGTAATGTTTGCGGATATGTTAATAGATTTACTTTGCCAAATAGGTGCGCGCAAGGAAACGAACATTTCCATATGGATTGAGTTCGTAAATGAGATCGGTGATGACGAAGGTTTTATTGCCATGAAAAATCGCCAATGGTCAAAAGGTAGACAAACGCAACAAGTTAAAGCAAATTGAAGCTACCTGGTTCCAAGAAATGGAGCAACATTAGGTTAACATGTGCGCATGAAGCGGAAATGTCTTGCATACGTAATTATCTGCCTACACAATTGGGTGGCATGTTTCTTGGTTGAAATCATGATCCTGAGAAGGAATGAGTTTTCATTATTCTACTGAAATTTGTTTGTTTTCTCGATTCGTGGAAGTACTTCGTTGAGAATAAGGTACTTCAACACAGACATATAATTGGATTTTACAATTATTAATTCAATCTAGAAGAAAATGTAGATGCCAAAAGCTATTCGCAAAAATAAAGGAGATCTGAAAATTTCTCAAGTCTCTCGATTTTGGAACCGAAAACAGAATAATAAAAATTGGTATGCTTCTCTTGTAAAAATAAACCCACCATGAAAAGATACCAAATGTGTATCTCTAAAATGGTTCTAATTTCGTCAAAATCAACTTTTTATTACCCCAAGCGAGTTTTCAAGTAGAGAGAGCAAAAGCAAATGGGACAAAATAGTTATTTTTGAAACAAGTTGCAAAAAGAAGATTTTTTTGCACGAGTCATGCAATCCAATGAGGCTTGTAGAGTTCGATAATTAATGATGATGATAATGGTCCCACCTCTTACCCCTACAAAGGTTCTAGCTGGATGATTTAAGATAATTAAATATGAAATTTTAACCAGGTTAGCAAACAAAATCGCACTGGTTACAATTACAGATATAAATTCCCTCTAGAGTTTACAGTTGCTTCACAGTGACATAAATGTGGATTAAGACGAGTGCTGAAATAATTTAATTTTGCAACGAATTGTATACAACATTTTTGCCCCGAACAGAGTGTCGAAAAGTAGCACTTTTCGGCACTGATGTTTTAGTTAGGGAAAGTAGGCCGTTATGTTATTCAAAAAAATTGGTGGGGTTAAGGTACAAGAGACAACCGCATGGTTCACGTATACTACTATACGTTAAGCTATTTAGTGATCTTCTCGTGCATTTTTCCTGATATTGATTTAAAATACAGTAGAAGTAAACTATTATTTGGGTCATTTTGGCCAAATTCAGGACCTCGTAAAAATGCGAATACATAATCTATTACATCTGGTTCCTAAACTGCAATCATATATGAATCTTCAAATAGGAACATAAAGGGTGATACGGTCAAAATTTGGTCAAGGAAAAACGCGTGTAAATCGGTGAAATCGTTTATTTAAAAAATCAAATTAAATTTCTTTTTCAAGTTCAATTAGTATAAAATTCAGGAAAAATATTCAATATTCAATATTCCGCTTTTCCAAATCCGAATTGCCGGGCCTTACGCTTGACCCCTGCCATCAGATTTTGTACAGCCACCTTGTCCTCCTTCTTCGCCGCAGAAAGCCAGTTTGCCTTGAACTGCTGTTCGCCCTTAACAGTTTTTTTGGTCTTCTTTAGGTTCCGCTTGACAATAGCCCAGTATTTCTCAATTGGGCGGAGCTCTGGCGTGTTGGGAGGGTTCTTGTCCTTGGGAACCACCTGCACGTTGTTGGCGGCGTACCACTCCATGGCCTTTTTACCGTAATGGCAAGATGCCAAATCCGGCCAAAACAGTACGGAACAACCGTGTTTCTTCAGGAAAGGCAGCAGACGTTTATTCAAACATTCTTTCACGTAAATTTCTTGGTTGACAGTCCCGGAATCTATGAAAATGCTGCTTTTCAAGCCACAGGTACAGATGGCTTGCCAAACCAGATATTTCTTTGCGAACTTTGACAGTTTCATGTGCTTGAAAACATCTGCTACCTTTCCCCTTCCTTTTGCCGTATAAAACTCCTGTCCCGGAAGCTGCTTGTAGTCGGCTTTGACGTAGGTTTCGTCGTCCATTACCACGCAGTCAAACTTCGTCAGCATCGTCGTGTACAGCCTCCGGGATCGCGCTTTGGCCGTCGTATTTTGTTTATCATCGCGATTTGGAGTCACTACCTTCTTGTAAGTCGATAGTCCGGCTCGTTTTTTGGCTCGATGCACGGTTGTAGACGATACACCCAGCTTATTTGCGGCATCTCGGAGAGAGAGGTTAGGGTTTCGCTTGAAACTACCGGCAACTCTCTTTGTCGTCTCAGCGGCTTCCGGTTTTCGATTTCCCCCCGATCCAGACTTCCTGGCTGTCGACAAACGTTCCCCAAACACTTTAATTACATTTGTAACGGTTGATTTGGCAACTTTTAGCGATTTTGCCAACTTTGCGTGCGAGTAGCTCGGATTTTCGCAATGCGCGAGCAAAATTTTGATACGCTGCTCTTCTTGCTTGGACGGCATTTTGACAACTGAAGAGTGAATTCCAAAATCAAAATAGGAGCAACATTCTACACACACACACCTTCAAAATGAGGGGTGTTCAGGTTTTTTAAATGCAAAATTGAAAGAAATACGTCAAGATGATATTGACCAAATTTTGACCGTATCACCCTTTATGATGAATTATAAACAAGTTCCCCACCTAAATTTAGGGTTGCGGACTGAAGAGATGATTATGAAATAAAGTGTCAATTAACAGACACTTAGGACTCCGTCTGTGATTTCTATATGGGGGTACACTTTGTGAAAACCAAAAATGGAACATGTAACAAAATTATGGAAGATTTTGAAAGTTAATAACCATCTGGACCAATTGCAATAGTTTTATCACCAATCGCTCAGAAATATTTCTATGCATCTGTTAAATTCAAGGCTTTATCCTTTTGAAAATTGCACGATGTGAAACTGTTGTTATGATAGTTAAAATTATCACTGATTGTCTGGGAAAAGCGATTTCCATAACAAAGATGAATTCCATCCGGTCTCACCAAACGGTGTTTATTCAATCACCACGTGGTGAGTGGTGGTATTCTCCAGTACACTGAGGGGTGGTTATGAGCTACGATCGGCTGATGGGTGATTGTGAGCCAATCGTCACCATATTCATCTTTGAGTTTTGGAATGTGTTTGGGATGCATCTTTGGGACCTTGGCAACTTTCCAGAATGGTCTGGAGCGGTCGTCCAGATTCTGGACGAGCCGCCCGAAACTTTCGTTCCGGAGTGAGACCATTCTTGAAGCAATCTCCTTGATCAGATCGGCCATATCACGTTTCGTCGCTAGATTTCCGGTTCTTTGGAACTGGCGTCTACGAACATTTATCAGGCAAATCAAGAGTTGGGTGTGCGAATCAATGGCAATAAACTTACCCCTCACAGAAACTCGTTGGACGCACGCCTCGTCAGCCACGGTTATGGCTTGGGGGAGTCCCTCAAACGCTCGGTCGATGTCCTCCACGGTGTCAAGCGACGGGTTGTCGATAATGTGCCTGTCTACCACGCGTCTAAACTGGGCCCAGTTTACGCGATGGTAGTCCTTGCGCAGGCTTGGAGCAGAGTCCACGTTGTAGCCCAATTCAGCCACCACCAGTTGGTGGTCGGAGCTGAGTTCATTCAAGGCTACCAGCTTGGACAACCAGGTATTTGTCAAGGAACAGGTCTAGCGTCGATGGGTTGCCCACCGGTGAGATAAATGTTTGCTCATTCGAAAACCAAACGGAGTACAGCCCATGCTACGAGTGGTCAAACAGCAGACGACCGTTCTGGTTCTGCTGGTAGTTCCGCCAGTCCACTGCTGGCGGCACACTGTCGAGGGCGATGAACTGGATGTATCCAGTTGACGACACCACCTCCACACCAAGGGCTTCGATGATAGAGGTGCGGATATGGGACAGACTGTGATATTTTATCCCTTTCATGACCACGTAGATGATATGGTCCAGTGTGATGTCTGCGATTTCTGGACCCATTATAGTTGTGCTGGTAAGACAACAGCTGTAAAGGAGGTTCCGTAGACGTGCTCTAAGTGCACAAATATGCTGAAGGTGGCAAAAGGAACCAAGAAGTCTGTCCCAAAGAAACCACCTAGCAGAAATAATAGAGCGAGGAGTGATGCCGCAACCGAATCTGGAAGGGGAAGTACCAGTGAGGTCAGCCTGGAAGAATCCCTAGACCAGTTGCTGCAGGAGAAAAGCGCAAATAAGAAAGCGCTGGAGGAAGCGAAATTCCTCCATGAAAAGCGATAGGAGGCTGAGCGGGAGATTTTCAAACCGAGAGTTATCTTCCGTCACTCTTTCAACAAAGATTTGGCTAGATTTAGCATTTAGGGATTCAATTATTATTTTAGTTAAGCACGCAAACGATGTAGAATGAGCTACTTACTATAGTTACTCAGGGTAAATCATGTATATAGCGTTTAGGAACAAATTGTAGGTTACCAGATTTTAGGATCAAATTGTAGTATCTAGATTAAGCAAATATAGGGTTATTAAATTCAATATTTGCACGAATTCCACCTCCAACTAACCTAATTCAGTAGCTACATAGAGGTAACTTTAAGACCAGAAGGTCCCGAAGAAATGTGGATACGAAACTAACGATTTTAAATTGGCTCACTACTTGACTAGCCTATTGGTCCCAAGCAAACGATTAACGAACCCCATTCTAGTCGAAATTGTAGTACTACACAATGTTTGTTTTGATTCG